TCGTGCAAATATTCTTGTGGGAGAATATCCGCTTGAAGATCCTTCAACCTTTGAATTTCATTCTCTTTCTTTCTCGATTCCTGTAAAAATGACTAGAGTAAATAGACCACACCTAGGGGGTGTTGGCCAAAGGCCCACCAATGCCTAAGTTAGCTAAAAAAGGGTATGAAGTTTTCTCTATGGTGAGAACCGGGTGGCATGAGCCGTGTATGGTGGCCTCGAGCCGCGTGAAGAGACAAAAATGAAGAGAGAGAGAGAGAGAGAGAGAGAGAGAGAGAGAGTGTGTGTGTGTGTGTGTGTGTGTGGGTTTCTCGGGTAGAAATTGGATTACCTTGAGTGTTGAATGAAGCCATGTATTATCTTTCCCCAAATTGTAGAGATTGAGTTCATTAGGAGATTTGATCCCAATCAAATCTCCTAATTTGATGATGATATCTCCAAATTGGGATAATATCTAAATTGGTGATATTATCTTATTAAATAAAGATAATATCCCTTATTTAAGATATTATTCTTATTTTTAGTATTAATTAATTGGCCAAATAAATGGGCTCAATTAATTAACCTAGGGGATATTATTCTTATCCACGTGGCGTCTTGTCATTGGAGACCGGAATATTTGCTCCCACATGTTGTAGAAAATGAAGTAATGCAGTGAATATAGAGAACTAGAGAATCTGATATTTGTTAAGATTTCATATGGATGGACTCTTGATCCACTCCTAACAACATCGATATTGTCCGCAACTTAACCACATGTTTAGTAGGTGTGGGGTTTTTGTGAAACCCCGTATTTATAAAATTATATAGTTTGAAGATTTAATATTTTGCCATTTTATTTATATATTATATATATTGTTATATTAATTATATATATAAATATATATATGTACAATTTTTACTATTAGTTTTCACACACAGACATATATATATATATATATATATATATATATAAGAACCCATATTATTTGCATGGAAGTGCGCACATTGAGATCAATCTTAGTATATTTTGGTAGATATTTAAGTGAGTAATAGATTTGAAGGGAGTTTCACTAAAATACCCAAAATGGAGGTTGAAATTATAAAAAAACTCAAACACTATTTAAACATAGAAACATACCCAAAACCCATCATTACACACACTCAAAACCCATTTATAAATACACCCAAAAAGTTGACTTTGGGGTTGATTTTGGGTGTGTTTCTATGTTTAAATAATATTTGGGTTTTTTTATAAATACATGCCTAGGATTGAGTTTTTTTATAAATTTGTATTTGAATAAACCTATCTTATCATGAATTATAATATATTTTATTGAAAACTTAGGAGTTAAGGCTTAAAATATATATTTGGTAAGAAGCTTGAGGTGGACTCATTAGCATGAGGTGTTGGATCAAGAGTATTGTAGCTAGAGATGGTGCCACCATTCTTGCTAGGTGGCGGGACATGCAAAGATTAAAGATAACCTCAAGTTGTTGTTATCTTATATTGTTGCCACCAAGAGTATTAACCAATGAGGGATTTCTTGTTGCCTACTTCTACTAAGAGAGAAAGAATGAGAGAGAGTGGTGATGAAACTCTTGGAGCTTGGTTTGGATGATATATATAGTACATGAAGATAGGTAGATGAGTTGTCTTGCCAATTTATTTTAAGGGCTCTCATTATCGAGGTGAGTGGTTTATGTAATGTGTTCTAAAAGTTCTTATTTTGTAATAAAATATGAAAACCATGAAGTATCATAGATTTATTCTATTTACAAATATCTCTCCATTTCAAGTAAATCATGTCTAATTTGGTGCAATCTTTCACACTATATATATATATATTTGTGAAGTATGTATTATTCATGGAACATGAGAACTTCAATGTTGGGGTATCCGAGGGATAGATGTACCACATGGGGACATAAGGCAGTGAGGCTGGTAGGGGTCACATGGTTGGTTACATGCTATGAAGAATAACCGAGATATAAAGGGACGATGTGATATGATCTGGACTAGTGTATATTTTCATGATATTTTCTAGTGTGTGTAAAACTGCATTGCTTGACTGGCATATTACATAATCTACTCACTGAGCGGTGGTTGCTCATCCCTCACCCTGTTTAATTTTTCAAATGAATTAGTGTGAAAAAGAAGGACTAAACCGATTGAGGCTGAATTAGATAAGAGTAATAGAGCTTTATTTATTTATTGTAAAATTGTAAGATTTTGGATCTATTTTTATAAGAGAAGTTATTTTAAACCATGTTTCGGCTTCTGTTTATTTTATTTTACTTTCTCACACATCGGGCTCGGGATTTTCGCCGACCCCTGGGTTCGGGAAGTGACAGTTTTAAACTGAAAACCTCGATGTTATTAGAAGTGGAGCCATTTGTTATATAAAACTTTCTATTTTATTAAGTATTCAATGTGAGAATTTATGTATTCTTCAACAATATTAACAACTTATTGTCTAAGCATTGATACAACAGCATAGCCCCATTACACTAGTTGTTTATAACTAGAATTGAACTTCTACACAACTCTTGAATTAATTTCAAGAGATATATAACTGTCTAAAAAACAAGAACAAAGAGATATATTTTAAATTTTAGAGAGACGGTTCAGCGGTTCACTACTAACAACACCGATATTGTCCCCAACTTAACCACTAACAAAGCCCAATAAGTTTATCACAAAAGGTCTTGTGGTGATATTAATAGTAGAAACATTCATTATATGTTATAATTTATTTAGTCAAAAATCCGATATGGGACTTAGATTCTTCAACTATATATATATATAGACACAACACTTGAATTTTGAAGAGTACAACTTTTCATATAACTAAGTGATACAACTTGGCCCTGTAAAAATTTCATTTCCAAGTTTCACATAAAACATAAAACAGAAATAAGTTACCAAACAATTTTTAAACAGTTTTCAATTTTTTAAAACTGAAAATTGAAAACTATAAACTAAAATTGAAAATTGAAAACTGAAATAGTTATCAAATGGGCTCTAAATGTGCTGTGGAAAGAGATAGGTCATTAGGTCTATGCTATGTAGCAAATTTTTCTCCCCTTTTTTTTGTTGCCATAAGTCATATTCTCTCTCCTAATCTCATCACTTAATCTAACTACGAGGATCAGCGGAGATAATTGAGCGAATAAACTATAAACTATAGATTAACGACAGAGATGGGTTACCTTTACAAAGTATTTGTTTTTTACTTTCCTTTTGTGACTGAACAATTGGTAACAAGTTAACAACTAAGGCTAATCAACAAGAATAACAACGTCCAGAAGGCAAACAAAAATAACGAGACAAAAGGCAAACCCAAAAAAATTTAATTCACATAATATAACGTTTTTTCTTATACAAAAAGCCCTTTTTTGTATATTATACTGTGGTCCCATATAATTTCCTCTTTTTCTTTATTCAGCTTCAGCTTCCGAGGAGCCAAGGTAACAGAATCGAACTAGTCATGTAGTGAAACATGAGCACTGGCCTTGGCCGTTGAAGAAGGAATTACAAAGGTTATTGGAGTCGAACAAAGTTCCAATAATATTAAGAGGAGTGTTAATGTCAGTCGCAAACAACGCTTAATGTAATTTTGACGATTGATGATTGTTAACTCTAAGAGTTATATTGAAGAGCATAAGTGCGAGCCGCAAATAAACGTGTGATGCGACGCAATCTTGACGGTTAATCATCGTTGACTCCAATTCAAGAGTCACAATGATTAATGGTTGAGATTTCGTCGCACACTCATCCCTAGCGAATGCTAACACTCTCCATCATATTGTATAGAACAATAACTTTCCTTCAGTGGCGGCATAGAGAGAAGGACCAATGAGATTGATGAGAAAGTGATTGGTGGAGAGCTTAAAAGGAGAAAAACAAAAAGAATCGATGCAGGCTAGGATTCCATGGACGAAGGTACTACCCAACTTCCGCGAGTGTGGGCCGAAGAAGACTTCCGCGGGGTACCACTTGACTCTAATACTTTTAATTACATCTTCTAGAAAAGAATCCACCTCCACCGAAGATAAGAAAGACCTAGTTGAGGCTGAGATTAAATAAATAAATAAATGTCGCATAATTTAGAAGTTGGGAGATAACTACAATTTAGTATTTCCATAGTTTTCAATCTTCCGTGCAAATAAAAGAAAATAATTTTCAGCAATAATAATATTTTGACTTGTCTTTCAACAACCTTATCTGAGTAGTTTCATTAGAGCATTTTTTTAAAAAAAAAAAAAAAAAAAAAAAAAAAAAAAAAAAAAAAAAAAAGTTTTATTTGATTTTTGGAAATAACAATTTTTTATTTATAGAAATGAGCTATGTCATAATCTTCATATAAGGGTTTGGTTGTTGGATCTAATTAAATAACCAACTCTCTCAACTGCAAGCAGGAGTGGGAACCTTGCCCTTGATAAAGCGCCCCTCATCTCCCTAGTCACATGCTTATAAAAACCTACTTGTTATATTCCTCAAACAATTTATCATCAAGAAAATGCGGTTGTTCCTTAAACCAAGTAAGAGTAATTATCATAAAAGCCTATCAACTCTAAATTAAATTTTGTTGAAGTAGAATTTTCATTCATACATGATATTTTTTTTGTTGGTCTATTAATTATCATAAAACCATATCACCTCTAAATTAAATTTCTAGCTCCATCACCGATGATAGAAATGATTAAGCGGAAAAAGAATTACAATGAATATGGGACAGCATTTATATTAAATGCAAAATATTTCAACGAAAATAATTAAAATGTCACTAACTTGGTAATCAATTGCAAAATATCACGGAAAATAATTAAAATGTCATTAACTTGGTAATCAATCTAATCTGCTTCTTCAACTTGACGAAGAATCCAATTTACAAAAGGTTGCCCCCTTTCAATTCTTATTTTCAATTCTTATTACAAATTAAAATAAAAATGAAAAAATAAAAGAACTACGTATTTCTCAAAGAAGTAAAAAAAATCTAAAAACATAAGTACAAAATTCAAACCGTGACGTTCTCATTTTCACCACCACCAATTACGTGGCGTTTCCTACACTCGCAGTAAAAAACTGTGGTAACTACGTAACCCCAGAGCACCACTAATCCATACAAAATTACCCAACCCAATTTATCCTCTATGCCCACCACCACCCTCGTCAGCGTCGCCGTCGATGATCCCTCCATCAAATCCTGGCCGTCCATCACTTCCTCCAGCTTCCTCGCCACCACCCAGGTTAAGAACACGAACAAACCCGACAACGCCCACCCGCACAACCTCTTACCCGCCATCAACGCCCACCCGACCCGGATCGCATCCCACGCGAACCTCTCTTCCAAAATCGACGCGACGAGCCCGAGGCCCAGAACCGCCATCAGGTAAATGTCGAGACCCGACCCGAGAACGAGGATGAAGAATCTGGACCACGACGAGTTGAATACAATCGACAGAGTCCAAGGCACGAAAGCGTACGCGATCGAGAGCGCGTAGATGCAGATGGAGGTGACCAGAGGTCTCCTCCAGGTGAGCTTAACGGCGTTAAGGGAGGAACGGAGATCAGGGCGTTTTCCATGGAAAGACGATGACGTGGCGGTGACGGCGGTGACGGAGGCGAGGAGGGAGAGAGCGTAGCTGGGGAGGAAGAAGATGGCCTTGATGCGGAGGAGAGAAACGGCGTCATCGCGGGATTCCTTCCAGACTTGGCGGGCCTCGAATCGGGTCGGGGCGAGGCGGGCAAGGGACTCGAGGTGGAAAATGTGGGACTTGAGCGGATGGGAGGAGAGGGAGAGGGAGAAGAGGAGGAAGGAGAGTGGGAGGGTCGTGAGGGCAAAAATGGAAATGAAGGTTTGTTTGTTTCTCAGGAAAATCTTGAGGGAATCGAGCAGGGTTTTGAGAGCAGTTGATTGTTGATCATGAGAGAAGACGCCGTCTCTTTCCGACATTCTCTCTCGACGGGCGACTTTCTCACTGACTGCCCTTTGAAGTTTGTGAGGAGTTTTAAGGAAAGTTATCGAGTGTTCCTTATGCAGTTGCCGAATTTACGGAAACGCCCTTTTCGACCCTTGTTTACAACATTGTTCTTTTCCGATAATCTATATATACATATCTACTTAGGATAATGACGTTTTATCACGAATGAATCCAAATTCCTCATTCTGGTCACAATCCTTCAAATTCGATTATCAAGGTCATCCCAAGGTAAGCTCCGTTTAATCTTCCGTTAAAATTGAAGAGTAATATTTTAAAAACCTTCTAGTTTCTAATCTCTATCCAGGGCGGCCCTCACTTTAAAGTAATGAAGTAAAATTGGAATATTCGGAAGTGCAAAGTAGGGCGGGCATCAGACTCGAGAAACTCAAGAACCTGGCCGAACTAGTCCAACATGATTACAGGGTGGTCTATGTTTCCTGGTGATTCAATGTTTGTGTTTACCCCGAAATGGACCTGCCGGCCATGCGCTTGGAGTTTGGCCGTGGAGTTTGCTTGTTGTGATTGCGAAGGCGTGCCACTATTGGTAGTGAAAAACTCCAACAGACTGAAAATGGTAAGATTAGAAAATGCGCACCGATATTGACTTTAATCAATCGATTGTGAATTGAGCGGGGAACTGATCAAATACAGGTTCTTTTCTATGCCTCAATTAAGAGGACTTCAATATTCATCTAGTGCGAAAATGGTAACTGAAAGAAGCTGAAATAGAACGGTAATGGAAATGGTAGAAGTTTATCGGAATATTTCTCTATTCAGACAACTTGAAAGCAAAAGGAAATACATAAACAATATAGCCTGAAAATTTCTCTATTCAGACTTGGATATATGAAATTAAAATGGAGATTGAAGATTTCTTTATTCAATGTTGTACCCAAAAAAAAATAAAAAATCATACCAAGAGTTGGCATAGCAAAATAACGAAAATTCCTCAAGAGTTGTCAACTGGGAATTCAAAGAATGAAAAATGAAGCATGTTTCAAGCTCTTGAGCTGGGTTTATAGACATTGAGTCTGATTTGTGTTGGTTGAGTTGTCCTTCCTTTGCTGATGACAGTTCAAGTATTAGTCCACTTGCCATTGATTGATGGATGTTTTCCTTATAAATACATAACGATTTTATTCACTTTTCCTATAAATACATAACAAGTTTATATTTTGTTGCATATTCTTTTTTTTTCTTGCCCTTGCCCTAGCCTTTTGGGGTGGAACCAAAAAAGGCAAGGCTGCCACTATTCACGTGAATAGTAGCAGCCCTTGCCTTAGATTTTGGTGAGTGGGTTACTGAAAATACAAGTAAGCCCAAAAAAGTTGCTAAGAGGCTTTGATGAGAAATGACAGAAGTTGTCACTAATAGACTTAAAGAAATCCAAAGTATTAGTCCACTTGCCATTGATTGATGAGTGACAGCTAAGAGGCTTTGATGAGAAATGACAGAAGTAGTCACTATTAGAGCACCTCCAGCGCAGGGCCTTTTGCCAGGGCAGGAGGCCCCTTTTGAAGGGTTTGGACCTCCAGCGCGCAACCAGCAGCCCAGGCAAGCCCAAAGGCTGATCATGCTTGGGCTTCAACCCGAAGGCACTGACGTCAGCAAGCAAAACAAAAAATTCAAAAAATCCAAAAAAATACCAAAAAATTGTGGATGTTTTCCTTATAAATACATAACAATTTTATTCACTTTCCCTATAAATACATAACAATTTTATATTTTTGCATATGCCTTTTTTTTTTTTTTTTTTTTTTTTTTTTTTTTTTTTTTGCCTTTGCCCCTTGCCCCCCTGGTTTGGATGTATTGGGTTTGTAGGGGGTTGGCAAGGCAAAGGCAAGGCAAGGCTGGCCACTATTCACGTGAATAGTAGCAGCCCTTGCCTTGCCTTTGCCTTAGATTTTGGTGAGTGGGTTACTGAAAATACAAATAAACCCAAAAAAGTTGCTAAGTGTCTTTGATGAGAAATGACAGAAATTATCACTAATAGACTTAAAGAAATCCAAAGTATTAGTCCACTTGCCATTGATTGGTGAGTGACAGCTAAGTGGCTTTAATGAGAAATGACAAAAGTAGTCACTATTATAGCACCTCCAGCGCAGGGCCTTTTGCCAGGGCAGGAGGCCCCTTTTGAAGGGTTTGGACCTCCAGCACGCAACCAGCAGCCTGAAGGTGCTGTCAGATAGCAAAAAAAAATTCAAAAAAATGGAAAAAAATGGAAAAAATTTAATTTTTTAAAAATAAAAAATAAAAAAATACCAAAAAATTATGGATGTTTTCCCTATAAATACATAACAAGTTTATATTTTGTTGCATATTCTTTTTTTTTTCTTGCCCTTGCCCTAGCCTTTTTGGGGTGGAACCAAAAAAGGCAAGGCTGCCACTATTCACGTGAATAGTAGCAGCCATTGCCTTACCTTTGCTTTAACCTTAGCCTTTTGGGGTGGACATGCTCTTAGACTTAAAGAAATCCAAAGTATTAGTTCACTTGCCATTGATTGGTGAGTGACACCCAAAAGTAGCTAACTAAAAGAAAAAAGAAATGGAGAGATAATGACCACCATGTTTACTTATTTATTTATTCATTCTTTAAGTCCACTTTCATTATTTATTCTATTCTTTCGACCTTTTCACGTGTATGATGAGTTTTGGCTTTATTTTAAAATTCTTCATCACAAAGAATATTGAAAGGTTTCCATCCACCCCATCATTATTTTATTCTTCTTTAAATCAACTCACTTGTGATGAAGTCCCTCCATTGGATGAAGTGAAACTTGATTAGCAGCTACTAACTTTCTTCTTTTAACATGCCTTGATGCATAATAAACTGGGAATGCTAGATTGATCCAATTGCTGCCAATTTCGGATATGTTGTTCTCCACATAAGTAGGAACAACATTCATGAAGAACTTAATTCCATTTGAGCAATAGAAAATCTGATTTAGCATGGTTGCAACTGACTGGTCGTCACAGACTGCTGTCACGAACAGAAATCATGATTAATGCCCTGAAGATTCAATACCTGTGCAAATGATGCCAAATTTGGATATGTCGTAGTAGACATCCAAATGAACAACTTTCATGAAGAACGAATGTTCATTTGAGGACTGAAAGCTAGCCCGAATTGGGTCATAATTAGGCCCGAATTGCCACTGTTTTCAGCTTTCGCTGTTGCTAGTATGCTTCTGATGTTTGATGTCGCGAGGATTCCACATTTATCCAAATGATTCCAAATTTGGATATGTTGCAGTGGACATTCTAATGAAAAACTTTCATGAAGAAAACAAATTCATTAGAACATTGGAATTGGGCCCTATAAGCTTTTTGCTGGCTCTGTGCATCTGGTGTTTTCAGCTCTTAGGACTCCACATTTGTCCGAATAAACCCAAATTTGGATATGTTTCAGTAGACATAGAGATAAACAACTTTCATGAAGGATGAAACTTGATTTGAGAGCTGGAAGTTGAAGTTTGTGCCCACTCCGACTGACTGCAGCAATGCATGTCTAGCCATATTTTGGCCATTTTGATGTTCATGGAACATTATCTTCCATTTTAGGCAAAAATAGGATTTTTGGTACAAACAGTTTGAAAACTTGCCATTGGTGTATGATAAGACTCTAGCAACTTGCAATTCTTCAGACTTGCTATATGAAGCTCCTGTTGGAATCATCTTTTGTAATGGTGGGGAAATTCGTAGTCAAATGGAATCTGTTATGACATCGAACATTTTAAAACCAGATATAATAGCACTGGGATCACTTGTCTTGGGAGCATCCATTCCAGAAGAGGTAACGGCAAAAATAGGTTTGAAGCCCTTGAAAAGTAAATACAATGTTTCGGGAACATCCATTGCTTGCCCTCATGTTGCCGGACTCGCGGCTCTACTAAAAGCCGCACTTCCAGAATGGAGCATTACAGCTCTATTAAGTCTGCCATTATCACCACTTCTAATGTTTTGGACAATACACTCACCAATTCAACCCCATGGGAACTATTGTAAATATGCTTCCCCTCTTGACATGAGAGCAGGTCACATTAATCCAAATAAAGCACTTGATCCCGGATTGATTTATAACGCGACAGTGCAAGATTATGTAAATCTATTATGCTCCTTGAATCATACTCATCGTCAAATCTTGAATATCACATCATCAAAAATCTATAATTGCTCCAACCCATCGTCGGATTTTAATTTTCCATCATTCTTTTTTACATATAATGATACCACATCCGTTGTTACAAAAAAGTTTCAAAGGATTGTAACCAACGTTGGGAAGGGACCAACCACTTACATGGTTACTGTGACAGCTCCTCTTGGTTCTGTTGTTAAGAGTATCACCAGAGATACTAGTGTTCGAAAGGAAGTATGCGACACAATCCTATAACGTCACAATGAAGCTCAAGTGGAAACAAAATAACTTCACTTTCGGCACATTACTTTGGGAAGAACAAAATGCTTATTCACGACGTCGAGTTAGAAGTCCTATCATTGTGGCACCAATCGAAATATAATCGTCCTAAGAAAAGCTGGAGGTAATTATGTACAAATAGTTCACAATTAATAATGTGAATTCTAAAGGGCCTTGATTTGCAGACCAAAAGTCTCTCGTTCAAACTTCGTTCGAACTTCCATGACATCAATTGTGTGTGTGAGAAACCCCTTCTCGTCCAGTTAGACTACCGTACTAGAAATGTCTCATGTTAATAACTATCACTAATAATGTGAAAGTTGGATGGTTACCTTGAAAGCTCCACAAGGTTATTTTACAGTGTCACTAGAGATAATGTAAAACACATCCGTTCCAACACTCACCCTTCTAGCTAGTACCCCGTCAACCACCCGGTTTCTCGATGAACCAGAGGCTTTAAGTGGTCCGTGCCCGTCCTGGAGATTGGCTTACCAACCTCGTCGGTTCATTAGTCAGATCCGACCAAATAACCGGACAACCCGAACCGTGCACTCTTCTAAACAACAGCATTTTGTGAAAAGTAAAAGCCAAGCAGAAGCAGAGGGGAGAAAGACAAAAAACAAAACAAAACAAAAACATACAAAGAAGGAAGGGTATCATAACTTGGAGCCTTTGGAATATGCCAATATCATAAACCAAAGCCGTGCATCATCAACCACGTTTCGATAAGCTTAGGTCAGAAATGTGGGAATGCAAGACTCCAAACAAAAGATTACAAGGCATCCACAAACATCTTACCTCATACACTATTTCAGAATGGTATTGAGAGAATTTCCAATACAAAGACCATTTCTCTCAATATAATAAACAAGTTAAACCCAGTCGAACAATGTATCTTATCTTACCATTGATTCACTCAAATTCCTCCATAATCCAACAAACCAATGGACCATTTCATCAAATTTTCTTGGCAAACAAACAGAACACAAGAGAAAATAACACAGGTCATCTATTATACATTAGAAAACTGAAAGTAAAAAGAAAAAGAGAAGACTTAAGGAAAAGGCTAAACTTAAAGCATGTTACGAAATATGCACAACTTACACTGCAAGTCCTACCAAACCCTCACCCTCAAATCATTACTGTTCCTATTAAAATTCCACACGTACTTGGCCTCTTCTTCTCCATCCAAACCAACCACCGTGTCCGCGTCCCCAGAATCTAACCGCACACGGGTACGGCAAATCGGGCACGCGGACACCTTCACCAGCCACGTGTCCACGCACCGCCTATGGAACACGTGGTTGCACGCAGCGAGTTTCCTGCACCACTGCCCATCGCGAAACTCGTCCAGGCAAACGACGCAGTCCGTCGGCGTCGGCGAGGACGACGTCATTTGGGATTGGGGCTGGGCTCTGAAGCGGAACTGGGGAAGGGCCTTGAGGTGTCCGGAGGAAAACCCAGATGAGGGGAGGGGGGATTGGGCTCGGCGGCGGTGGAGAGCGCCGGCGGCGAGGAAGAGGAAGAGGACGATGGCGGCGAGGCCGACGAAGAGGAAGAAGAGGGAGGTTATGGAGGTCATAACCAGGGCTTTGATGATGAGAGAGAGAAGCTTTGGATTGGATTTTGGAGGCGGCGGCCGTGGCTGTGGAATTACATGATTGTGGTTGCGGCGGTAGGGATCAGAGGAGGGAGGCATGGTGGTGTTTGATTTTGATGAAAGGTTGTTGAGAGTTTCTATTTAAGATCGAGTTTTGGAATGTCAGAGGAAGAATGGGACGGGGGATATTTTTGTTAGGGAGATACTGCTTTTTAATTAATTCATTATTTGGTCATGGTTTGTGGGCCGTGGATAAGTCGGTTCGGATTGAAAGGACCCGTGTGCCGCCCATGTATACCAAATCAGCGTGCTACTGGCGCTCAATCCCAAAACTTATCTTTTCAAAATGCAACCATTCATGTATATTTTACACTCAAAACACTTTTTTACGGTTACTATTATTATTTTTTCTTCAGAAGATAATAGATTTTATTAGAAAATCAAAATATTACAAGGATAAAACATGTATAGAGTGGTCTCGTTAAAACCTCTATAAGGGAAACCTAATGGGACAAAGCCCCAGAAAATGATAGAGTATCACACATGCCGAGATTAGAAGAGAGTCAAGTAATAGTACACTCACGAGAGTCCTCATTTAGACAATCCTGTAACCAAAGAAGTGGGTCAGAAAACCAAAAATCCAAGGCCTTTTGAACAAGATTGAAGCGTGCAAGACGACCCGCCACTTCATTAGTTGTGCGGGGAACAAAGCGGACCGAGTAAGAGGAGAACGAAGCGAGGAATTGTCGAATATCTTCGATGAGAGCCCCTTCTGCCTCATAACAGGGGTTCTTGAATGATTATATATATGGTGGTCGAAGAGTTGGACTCAATAACGAGAGGCGTGAGAGAAGCATCCACAGCAAAAGAAATACCAATTTTGAGAGCATACAACTCAGTAGCCAGGACTGATAGCACACTAGGAGCACGCATCGCTACTACCCCACAAAGACAACCGTAGGAATCTCTAACCGCTACACCAACCCCACGTAAACTAGAACTCAAGCTAAGTGCACCATCAACATTGAGTTTAAAATGACCAAGAGGGAGAGATTGCCACTTTTTATTAGGAATTGGCAAAGAAGACCGGCTATGATGGATTAATAAAATCTTATGATACTCAGCATCATAGTTCTTTACACTAAAAACTATTTGATCAGGGGGCAAGATAGAAGAACCAAAACAAAGCTGCATTTCGGGCATTCCATAAGAACCATAGAGTAATAGTAAACAAAGAATGTTGTGAGCTAGGGAGGATATCCCATATAGCCAATAACCAAATTGTAGTGTCATGACAGGGTAAAGTGATGAGAAGTGGAGCCCAACTTATTAGGCGCAAAACAGAAGAACTGACCGTGCAATCGCGAAGAGCATGCATCACAATTTTAGTCCGATCCATACAACAAAAGCAAATAGTAACTTGGACTATTTTCCATCGAAGAAGCACCTCGGGAGTAGGGAGAGCATTGTGGGCGAGACGCTAGAGGAAATGTTGCATTTTTTGTGGAACTTTAAGGGCCTGTTTGGTATCCTATCTTAGTAGGAAACTCAAAAACTGTTATTTTTCTTAAAAACAAGGAGTTCTCAAATCCCTTTTTTAAGATTCAAAAAGTTGTTTGGTATACAACTTGAAAACTGTTTTTGAATCTTTAGAATTTGAAAACTTGTTTCGTTGAATTCTTGAAAACAAATTTTTTTCTTCATTTTTTATAATTAAGATATTTTGATAAACATTATCAAAATTATATTAAACATACTATTTTAACATCCATATTTTAATACCATATATATATGATCGACAAGCTCAATTGGTCTTCAATCTTCAATAATACATATTAAATTAAAACATTCTAGACTAAATAAATTATAAAACTAATGATTCTGAATATAATCCATCCACATTGCTCTGGCAATGTGATCTCTAGCATCACTCCTTTCATAAGCATTGTCCTCATGCAAATGGATGTGTTCTTCATCTACCACTTGAAGATCATTGGCTTGATATTGATGAAATATGATGTCATTTCTTGATTGCATTCTAATGAAGTTATGCATGGTACAACAAGCAACAAGAATATGTCTTTATTTCCTAATTGGATAATTTGACATTAACTTCATAATAGGAAAGCGAGTCTTAAGCACTCCAAAGCATCTTGGATGTTTGCCTTTCCCTTTATAATCACGCAAGTGATAACACTCTCCACGATATGGTGCGAGAAACCCACGCATATTTGCATAACCAGAATCAACAAGATAATATTTTCCTATTTAAGAACAATTAATATAAGTATTTTACTCCATTTAAATATATTATTAAAAAAATATTGTAAGTTGATATGTTTAAATAATTTCATACCTTCTTTAGGCAATGAGAAGTTGTTCCCTTCTCTACTTATTGCATCCATCAACACCTTTGAGTCATTAGCCGTTCCTTCCCATCCCGTGTAAACATATGTGAACAACATGTTAAATGAATATGCACACATAATATTTTGTGTCACCTTAACTCTTCTGCTTCGATATGGAATTTGTTTTGATGTAGGAGCCCATGCACTGATATGTGTTCCATCAATAGCACCAATACAATCCTAACAACTGACAATTAAACCATGACATGTTACTTAACTATATAATTAGAAAAAAGAAAAAAAAAGTAGTTAAGTTAATCACATTTATCTTAAACCACAGGTGGTAATTAGGATTCTCCATGATTTTAGGAGGTGTCACATCCAAATTTGGAGGTTGAATTATCTGAGTACCAAGTCGACGTATTGCTTTGAGAATTCCGTTAAATTGTCTAGACACAGTTTCTTTAGAATGTCGAAATTTCTCAGCAATCATCCTATTATGAGTTGTATGCCTAATAGTATGCAAAAACATGCACACTGACCCCTCGACACAAAATGATCTATCATCTTGTAAGAAATCCAAGCCCTTCAATGTTGAACACAAGTTCGTAAATGTGTTCTTATCCATTCTAGCAAAATCAAATAACCTATCTGGATGTCCATTCAACAACTCTATCACAAATTGGCGACCTGAGAGTTCTGAAGTCATACATGGGTCTTTATGTAAACGCGAGTAATATGCATTTAGTTTTGTAATTAAAAGCAACTCTCTAGGTGAATCATCCAAATCAGATGATAAATCATTTTCAAAACTTGAATGAGATGATGAATCACTTTCAGAATTTGAATGACTATTGTCAACTTCATTTGAGTCCATCCTTTATAACAAAGACAAATATAACAAGGAATAAGAAAAATAGAAATTTATAAATAAGCCCAATCCTAGACATGTATTTATAAAAAAACCCAAGCACTATTTAAACATAGAAACACACCCAAAATCAACCCCAAAGTCAACTTTTTGGGTGTGTTTATAAATGGGTTTTGAGTGTGTGTAATGATGGGTTTTGGGTGTGTTTATATGTTTAAATAGTGCTTTGGTTTTTTTATAATTTCAACCCCCATTTTGGGTGTTTTAGTGAAACTCCCGGTAAACAAAGATAAATATCCTTCAGCAGACCAGCAGACCAGTAGTGCACTAACTCAACTATACAATCTGAAAAATAATCTCTTAACAACAACCATGACATAATATTTCACTAAATTTAATCAAAGTATCCCTTTGAACCAAAAACAAAAAAAGAAACAGTAACTCTAAACCAATGATTAAAGTTGAAGAATGTAGTAAAAAAGAAACAGTATCCCATTGAACCAAAAATATTTCACTAAATTTAATCTAAAGTATCATTCACTTCTTCACTAAACTCATAATTGTAGAATCAGAATCAGCTAGGCGGCTAAAGACTAACTATAAATTAATCACAAATTCACAATAATAGATCTATGCTAACCATAAAATTTGAGTTTATGGAACAATAAGGTCACAAAACAAGAACATGGGAATCAAAATCAGACAGTTTGATTGGTCTTCCAAAAGTTGAAGACTCTGAAGAAGACCATGTGTTTCATGAATCAAATAAGTGTCAAACAACAAAACAGACAACTTTACTCTCATTCACTTAATCATTATAAGTGTCAAGCTCAATTAATAATTCAATCTAAATAATTTAAGACTCATTCACTCTCGTTCACTTTAGTAGGCTATTGAGCCACACTCTTCTCCGTGGATCTGACATCTTCATGAACATCTTCCTCCAATCCAAATTAGTAAACTTATCCAAAGAATTCACATAAGCGTCATCATTCACTCCACGGTCTCCAATAGTTCCATACAATCCTCAACGGAGCTCAATTCTCTATGTGGAGAGGATACTTCCTTCTCACTCTTACGCTTAAGCCTTGCCAATGAAACTTCAGTCTTGGCATTAAGAGACTTTGCCCAAGCTTCAATGGCTTCATCCATTTTGGTGGTTTTAGATGACTTTGACCTTGAGGGAAGATCACTTTGGGGGAATAGAGCAGCACTCTTGTTCTTGTTGCTAGTTCCTTCATCTCCCTCACTAAAGCCCCTTGCACCAATTTCTCTATTAAGACCTATGTGTGCGCGAGTGGTAAGAAAATCATTTTCTAGCTCTTTTGTAACATTAGAATCTGGAGGAAAATTAGTAGATGCATATTGCATTTGTCTAGAGGCAGTGTTGTTGTTGAAGATCACACCAAGCAAATCATAATGAGGACATCATTTGCTACGAAAACAGCTTGCAAACTTGTTTTTATGTAAAATTAAAACAAGATAGATTAGAAAATGCACATGTATTAGATACCAAAACAAGACAAATTATACAACAATATGCATACCTTGAGATATGATTCCCAAACTTCTTCAGATGCTTGAACAGTGTTCATGTTTGGGTCCTAACCCATCCCGATATGAGAAATGAGCTTTCGAAACTCACAGTGAATCTTGCGCAATCGGTTATATTTTTGCTTCAATTTGTCATGGTTGTATCTTTTCCTAAACTTATCAAAAAAACTCTTTTCTATCCCAGCTCACTCATTCTTATCCAAAGTATTGGTTTGCAAGCCTTTTTGCCTCTTCATATAACAGATGAATAAAATGGTCTTCAATAGGCTTTGGCCAATTAGCTTTATCATCAAGCTCATTTTTAAGGTCCTTGTTTGACATCTCTCTATTATGTATGAAATCAATGTAAAAAACAACATCACACAGTGAACGATGATGACACAATTAAAGAATAGTCCTTTAGTCCACAAACAAAAATAGAGCAACATAGATTTATTGTTGTAAAGAAAGCCACACGTAATATCCATCCAAGTTACTTGTACAAATAAATTAATATATAAATATCGACAAATAAAATCAAGGAACAAGATACTAAATATTCCATTTAAAAATAAATTTGAGTATGAAACAGGCTATAAAACTAAGCATGAAGCTATAAACCAACCAAATACATTTCTCCTAATTGTATATTCCATTAGATTAGTGGTTGTTAAGAAATGTTTCTTTCTCTTCATTTCTCCTAAATGTTCTCAGCAACCAAACATATTGTAAAAGGAGAAAGAGAGATGATTGTCGTTAAACCTTGCTACGACAGTCGAGATCTTTGGATTCATCAGAATCTCCCATTTCATCTTCAACCCAAAGATTTCTTTGTCTTTGTACCTCTCAATCTTGAAAGCCCTTGGTATCTAGAAGCAAGGTGGTTCTCTCTACCAGACAAAAGAAACCCATTATCAAATTTAAGCAGAAACTCAAATTACTAACAAACAAAACCCATCTATCCAAAAACAATCGAGAAAACCAAAAGACAAAAGGAATAGAAAAGGCATAGTGACCTTTGATATTGGAAATCCCCAATTTCTAGGGTTTGAACTGATGAGAGCGAGGAGGAGAGAGGTAGAGAGAGAGAGAGGGACAAAGAAAGAGAAGGACGAAGAGAGAGAAGGACGAAGAGAGAGATGGATAGAGAGGGAGCAAAAGAGCTTCAAGCTTCTCCTATGGAAGCTTGAAGCTTGAGCGAGAACCAGCAGTGAAGTGAGCTCGAACAAACCAACAACAACAAACGATGTGAGAAAAAAAAACAAGAAAAATGCATTTGTTTTTTTTTAAATAATAGGGATTTTTTTGAATTTGTTTTGGGTTTGGTTTTTTAAAAATGGGCATATCAAACAAGTTTTTGGGCCTTTGGATTTAAAATCTGTTTTGAGTTTATAAAATTGGGCTAAAATCAAATACCAAATAGGCCCTAAGCTTCCATAGAGGATAGATGCTTCCATGACTGTTGAGAGGAGGAAGAGGAAGACCCAGACACAGACAAAGAGGCCATCTGAGCTTGAAATTCCAAAGCAGTCTAATACCCACTCTTAACTGTATACCAACCACTACGAGTAAAATGCCAAATATGGCGATCACTAGTGTCACAACTCAGAGGAATAAATAGGATGAGTTCAGCTTCAGAGAAAGTGAATAAACGGTAGATCTCAGGAACATTCCAATAGTAGTAATGAGAGCACTGACTCTGGAATCCACATGGAGATGTGGAGAATATTGAACAATAAATGTAAGATGGTAAGGTACCCACAGATCAGTGTAGATGTTCACAAGTTGGCCATCATCGATAAGCCATCGAAGACCACAAGAGAAGAGTTCACGACCCAATAATATCGAATGCCATGTAAAAGAAGGTGTCAGACCCCCTTGAGCATGCTGAAAATCAGAATTTGAAAAATACCAAGCTTTGAGCATCCGAGGAATGAGGGAATTGGGGAATTCCAGAAAATGCCACCCTTGTTTGGCAAGCAAAGCTTGATGAAAACAGATAAGTGCTCGAAAATTGAGACCTCATTCAGTCTTATGCTTGCTCAGAGCCTTCTAGGTCTTCCATTGGATACATTTTTCAATTCCTTTTTTACCACCAATAACGAGCAAAAATACTCTAAAGTTCATAACATAAGCCAACTGGTAGATGAAAGATACTCATAGAATAGGTTGGCATTGCCTGAGACACAGCCTTAATAGGCACCTTCTTCCCAGCTTTAGAAATAAGTTTACCTTCCTATCCTGAAATCTTCTTCCAAATGCGATCTTTGATAGCTCGGAATATTGTTTTTTATTTTTTCCGACTATAGTAGGAAGACCCAAATATCATTCATGGCATGGAACTACCGGTACTCCGAGAAGAGCTTGGAGTTGAACTTGGGCTAATTCAGAGTTAGATGGGCTAAAATAGAGAGCAAACTGGCAAAATTTATTTGCTGCCGCGAGGTTGCTTCATAAAGACTAAAGATGCGCTTCAACTCCATTATTTGGGTAACTTCAGCATCACAAAATAAGAGGATGTCATTTGCAAAAAATAGGTGATTAAGGAAGGTGCCAAAGGAGCAATAGAAACCACGAAAACTCGAGAATCCTGATTGGCCTTTTGAAGTGAGGATGAAAAGCCCTCAATCACTAAAAGGAATTAATGGGATGAGAGGGGATCTCCTTGGTGTAGACCCTGAGTAGGAGTGAGGAGACCCAGCGAACGCCCTTGAATCAATAGGGAGTAAGAAATAGATGTAATACAACCCATGATCAACTGGATAAAGCAATCAGGGAATTCCATCATGCGCATCATCCATTACAAAAATACCCATTCCACCAGATCATAGGCCTTGGCCATATCGATCTTCAGTATAGCCTTTCTTTTTCCTAAACATTTGAGGGAATTTAATGCAATGTCTATGCAACAACATTCCCTTTGTAATGTCTACGCATTGAGTAGCACACAATCTCTAAACCAATTCGTAAGATAATATGGCGCTAACCAATCGTTTGGAACAACGCCACAATGTAAACTCATGATCTGAACTGTTCATTTTTTTATAACCTCATACAAGGCTTATGCTTGATTTTCAGATGGATCAGGGTTTGACGCACTCTTATTAGTGGTGTGATAATCACATATCAACAAAAGGAAAACTCAAGTTTTAATTATATATCAAGATGTTTGATAAATGAAAATATTTGATTGTAAAACCTCTATATTTTAATGAAAACCTTCAGAAGTTGTGTTACTTTCTAAATTGTGAAGCGTCCTTTTACTCAAAACTCATATTTTTAAAAAAAAAAAAAAAGAAAGATTCATTAGATAAACTTTCACAAAAATACAAACTAAACCCAAAAGGAAACGGAAACGAAACATACTAATAAAGCAAAATTAAATCGGACAAACTTCGCAACCAACAACTACTATAACCCACATCGCCACCTTTTGCAGGATATTATATTTAGAAGTAGAAATGTATCTTGTTTAAGTGATTCATAAAATAATATAATTCATAATATATGATATAGTGTTTCCTATAACCCCTAAGAACTAACAATCATAATATTTAAATATGACCTATAAGCATTCATTTGTTGGAGAGCCTTGCTTTTTGTAACTTAAATTGAAGATAAATATATATATATATATGAAAGTGATTTCATCCATTAAAACATATGTATAACACTAATCAATAAATTTAAGTGATGAGGTGGAGGATTGATGAACGTTGTAGACAAGATATGTTGTAAAAAGAGAATAAGCATATCAAATTTAAGGCTTCTATCTCAAAACTTTGATTTCATTTATTCTTAAGTATGTTTCTATATGAAATCAATTACATAATTAATTCAGAGACTAGTTATTCTTCTGAAGAAGGAGAAGTTGCATGAGAGAAATATTTTGAGGACTTAACACATTGACTCCAAATTTCTGCACTCTTGGTCAAAGTATCCGACTTGTTTAATTTGGCAAGAGGGCCCGAAAGAGCTTTGTTCATCAATGCAATGTGGCATGATTGACCCATTGATACAAGCTCAATGCAACAACTATCACTAATAAACCATTCCTTAATTATTGTAACGAATATTTCTTTTCCACACTCGGCATGAAGCCTTGATTTGCATTCCTCTAGGAACTTAAAATTTGATGGGGAGGGTGCTAGGGTTGCTAGTCCTGGCAAAATTATCATTGTTGCAGTCACGAAAATCAAGATTGCAGAAGTTAGATAACCAGTGAACCTTGCCATGTTGTAAATTTTAAAAAAAAATACTTTGTTGCCAACGAAGCTATAGAATGGTGGAGAATCTATAACAAGTTTGTCTTTTTATAAGTCTAGTGTTATTGATGATGTGAAACGCATTTAGAGTGAAGAACAGATTTGGTAGGATAACTCCAAACTAAACGGTAGATTAATTCAATCTCATTCATTTTAGATTTTAATGGTTTGCACATGCGTTTTATCGGTTAATTAATTAATTAATTTAGATTTAAAAAATAAGTTAATAAACCATCTTTGTTGGTCCTTGTGCAACTAAAGAAAAACTCAAGTTTGAATTATATATGAAGTTATTGGATAAATGATAATATTTAATTGTAAATCATCTATATTTGACTGAAAACCTTTGGAACTTTTGTTACTTTCTAAATTGCGATGTCTCATTTTACTCAAAAACTTATATTTATGGTTTTCTTGTACATAAGCTAATCGCAATTGAGTGCTAGTTCTAATATTCAACATGAACATGTCATGCAAGTCCTGGAAAAATCATCATTGTTGCAATCACGAAAATCAGGATTGCAGAAGTTTCACTAATGCAATGCGCCATATTATCTTGCCTTGATAGTATGTATGTGACAAACCTTTCTTTTGTAGTTTAGACAATCAATTATATTTAAAAATAAATAAATAAATAAATAAATATATATATATATATATACAGTCCCCTTCTATTGAGGGATCCCTCAAATAATTTTATTTGAGGGACACCCTTTAGGGTACCCTATAATTTTTTTTCCAATGATCCAAACCATCTATCTTTTAGGTCTTCATTCATAAATCATCCTTACAAAAAATTAGACAAATCGAAAACCTTTTCGACATCCAATTGTGTCATACAAAATCAATGAACACGGTGCTTCAAGAAAGTACTAAAATTTTAATAACTCACTTGAATCCGATATCATTTGACCACTCAATTGAGTTATTGAAATTTTAGTACTTTCTTGAAGCACCGTGTTCATTGATTTTGTAAGACACAATTGGATGTCGAAACGGTTTCAGATTTATCTAATTTTTTGTAAGGATGATCTATGAATAAAGACCTAAAAAATAGATGGTTTGGATCATTGGGAAAAAAATTGTAGGGTACCCTAAAGGGCATCCCTCAAATAAAATTATTTGAGGGATCCCTCAATAGAAGGGGATTGTATATATATATATATATATATATATATAGAGAGAGAGAGAGAGAGAGAGAGAGAGAGAGAGAGAGAGAGAGAGAGAGAGAGAGAGAGAGAAGGTGGAATTCTATATAAGGAATTTAAGTGTTATATTATAAAAAAATCAAAATTTAAATCATGCTAATAAATTCATAAATTTGTTGATGTGTGGAATTCGCACCACCAATCAAAGTGCGTCAAACTCATTCAAGCCTTCCTCAAGAATGGACGTGTGGTCTTGAAGTTGCACTTATGTATGTCTCTATTGCATTTGGAGTGGTCAAGTACGGTGGTCGTAGGTATCTCCAATCTCCTTGAAATAAAAACAGGAATGAGTCACAAAAGAGGGTGGTGATGGATTCACTAACCACCCTCCGATGCCTAAGTCAGTCTTTCTTTTTGAAATGAGGCTTTCTATAAGTACTGTACTCTAGTATGAAGAAAGTTCATACTGCATTTTTTAGGTAGAAAGTACTCCCTTTTATATAGGGAGATGAGACCTCTCAATTGTCTTTTTCAGATGTGGGACTCAAGAGATGTTGATGACATGACACCAGTCTATTATGTGACTGGTGACATACTAACATGTGTCCTTTCCTTTTTAGGTGGCATCATGCGTCCGTGTGATATGACGTGGGCCCATTCTAGAGCTTCTTATTCCCATGTGTGGACTTCTGGGGAGAGTTGCCTGGGTTAGTGTGCTGGGTCGTGGCCTCGTGGGCTTTGGTTGGGCATAGCCGGCCTACCATTACCTCCATTGGGCCTCCTCAGGCGTGAGGTAAGGCTAGCGTAGTCTATTTTTCGCTCGGGTCCAACCACTTCCTCAAACAGTTTGGGCCTGTCCTCTTTGGGCTCTTTTGAATAGGCCTTACTGATATTTGGTATCAACAAAATGCATAAAATAACTTAAAATGAGGATAAAGAACAGTTTAGAAAAACCAATACAGTCAAGTCTAGAACTTAGTTCTATCTTCTTAAGACAAAATTGCCCCACACTTGTGCTTCATAGTTTCATGGCAAACGTCGCCTAGGAAACAACGACCTCCTTCTTATGGTAGTAGCACTCCAAATCACAACAACAATAAACGCAGTGCAATAGATCACATTTATCCAACATTACAGACATGTTCAAGAAACGTACGTATGTAGTTTTCCCTTAACCCAAATTGAAAGTAAGCACAGTGCAATAGATCAATTGATACAGAGTAAAAATAAAAACAGAAGCAATAGTCATAAATAGACCGGAAAAACATCTTAATCAGAGAGTCCAAGAAACTTATCCACAAAGTGATTGTTTTGTTTTTTTTTAATCAACATCCAAAGAGTGGTTCAATGACAAAAAAAAAAACAAAAAAAAAAAAAAAAAAAAACCAAAAACCAGATATTTCATTCATGCAGAATGAAATCATATGAGGTTTTTTATTGGTAAAAACGAAATGACTTTGGCCTTTGAAGTAGGAAAAAGAGTTACTTGATGGTAATGATTTTTTTTATAAGTAAGAGCATCCACAGTGGGAGAGTGTATTTTTGGGGGGTGTAAAGCCACTTTTACATTCTTTTTACATCTCTGGGGGGTTATAAATACGGTTTTTGCTCCAATGGGGAAGATGTAAATCTAAAGATGTATAATTGATTTTTTTTTGTCTTAATTCGTTTTTGTGTTAAAATTTTATTTTATGTTAACTTTATTAAATTCATTTTGTGTGTATAAGGTTCATTTTATTTTTTCAAACAAATAGATCGAAAAATATTTAAATTCAGAGAAGATATAATTTCATCCAAAAAAATCATTGATTTCATCCAAAAATATTTAAATAGACCTAAAGCTGTTGGCTGTTTTTGAAAAAAAACAAGAATTGCATCATTTAGCAACTACTCTAGCCGAGCAAGTGGGTTTCATTCAACAACTTTTTTCCCACTTTTGTCCACATGTTCTCACCTTTTCTCATGTAGGTCCCACTTGTAAGGGATGTAAAAAAAGATGTACATGTGTATCTAAATTTGCATCTCATAGTGATGATGCAAATTTACACTCATTTACACATCCCCATTGCAGGTGATTCCGATCACAAAGGGTGTATATTTAACATACACCTCATTATACAACCCCCTCATTAGAGATGCTCTAAGAGAGAAACAACTTGCTTCATACCCATCTACAAGAAATAAGTAAACTCGACCGCTAAAGATTTCCTTTTTCTTTGACAGGGAAAATGGGATTGATTTTGCAAACCATTATGATGGCTTTCTTGAGTTACAATTTGTATATCTTAGTGTAAGAGCATCTGAAGGAAGAAGAAGATAAAGAGTTCTAGAATATTCATAGAGAGGAATTTAGAGAAAATATTACTTTTGTTTTCTGTATTTCTCATTGAATCAATCCAATACACATGGGATTACAGACTTTATACTACAGCAGAAATCACGTGGATTATACAAACAATCTAACCATAATGACACGTCAGCTAATAACCTTCCTAGCTGACTAACCTTTAGCCAAACATCCCCCCTCAATCTCAGCTGGGCGATGAAGTCTAAGATTGATACAATGCTTTGCGAATACAGGACCATGTAATCCCTTTGTGAACACATCAGCAACTTGATCATCAGTTGGTATATATTGCACATGAAAATCTTTAAGCTGGACACGTTCTCGGATGAAGTGGAAATCAATATCTAAGTGTTTGATTCGTGAATGAAACACTGGATTTGAGCTCAAAGCTAAGGCAGAGAGATTGTCATAGTGTAGTAAAGGAGGCTCAAGCAGAAACTCATGCATATTAGCCAACACTTGACGAATCCAAACAACATCAGCTTCTGTATTGGCTAATGCTCGATACTCGGCTTCCGTAGAGCTGTGAGAGACCGAGCCTTACTTCTTGGACTGCCAAGAAATTGGATTATTTCCAAGAAATACTACAAAGCCAGTAGTTGACCTGCGTGTAGAAGCATCTCCAGCCCAATATGCGTCACTAAAAGCGCTAAGTTGCATAGGTCTAGGGGAAAATTTGATGCCATATTGCAGAGTACCTTGTAGGTATCTCAAGATACGCTTAACTTGAAAGAAGTGAGAATCTGCAGGTGTTGTCATGTATTGGCAGACAGAGTTCACAGCAAAAGCAATATCAGGCCTTGTAAAAGTAAGGTACTACAAAGCTCCTACTAAACAACGATACAACGTTGGATCTTTTAACAATTCACCCTATGTGCTAAGTACCTGGGAATATGGTTTACATGGAGTGGAACAAGCTTTACATTGAGTCATACCTGCTTTAGCTAACAACTCCTTGGCATACTTATACTGATTCACAAATATACCACTTGAGCTGGGATAAGAAATTTGTAGACCTAAGAAGTAAGTCAACAACCCCAGATCTTTCAATTCAAACACAGAGGACAGATCATCAATAACCTCTTGAATGAGAGCATCACTTGAACCTGTTAAGATAATATCATCGACATATAAAAGTAAAGCTAGAACATCTGATCCAGTGTGTTTAACAAACAAACTCGGATCTAATTGAGACATTTTGAAACCAAGGGCTGGAAGGTATCCTGTGAACTTAGCATTCCATGCTTTTGGTGCTTGTTTTAACCCATACAGAGATTTCCTTAATTTACAAACAGATTGAGGCTGCTTGGGATCTTCAAACCCTTGAGGTTGTTTCATATACACTTCCTCATCCAAATCTCCATGAAGAAAGGCATTTTTAATGTCTAATTGCCTTAACTTCCACCTATGCATGGCTGCCAAGCTAAAAATAATTCGGACAGTAGAGTGGCGCACTACTGGACTAAAAGTTTCTGAGTAGTCAAATCCAGGCTCTTGGCTAAAACCTTGAGTCACCAACCTTGCTTTGTACCTGGCTACAATCTCGTTTGAATTTCTCTTTATCTTATAGATCCACTTACTACCTACCACATTCTTATTCACTGGAGGAGGCACCAAATCCCAAGTTCCCTGCATATGAAGAGCATCGATTTCATCTTGCATGGCCTTAGTGCATTTTGAGGAATAAGAAGCGACTCGATAACTAGTAGGCTCCTCTAAAGCATCCGGCAAACTAGTGCTATAACAATGATAGTTGGAAAAAGGTTTTGGTGTGTGTATCCCAGATTTAGATCTAGTCTGCATAGGATGAGAGTTTGTTGCAGGTAAAGGTGTAAAGGAAGAAGATTCTGAATTTATACTTAGAGAGGCAGGCCTTGAACTTGGTGGTAATAACACCTCTAACTAATGGGGGGTGTATTCTCGAGGGTGTAAAGCCACTTTTACATCTCCTTTAGACATCCGGGGATTGTAAATGTAGTTTTTGCTTCAATAGGAAAGATGTAAATCTAAAGATGTATAATTCATTTTTGGACAAACTACAGTAAACCCCCCAACCTATAGGGTCATTTACAAGTTCATACCCGATTTTGGGGACATTTACCAATACATACTCAACGTCGCAGAAACCCTACAATTTGCCCCCTCCGTTAGCCAAACTGTTAGTGAATCTATTAAATGCTGACGTGTCAAAAGTAGGACCCTTTTTTTTGATGAAATGGACAAAAAACTAATAAAAAATTATGTACATGTTAGAAATAATTTTTAAATCATATTAAAATTATTTAAAAAAGAAAAAAAAAAGAAAGAAAAAATCTCTTTCCCTCTCTCCTTCCCACACAGCTACCTCCCCTACCCCTGTCGTGTGCCCAGCCACCCCCTCTCCCTCGCCCCCTTCCCTTGACCCAGGCCCAACTAAAATCCATAGTTGTTGAGGAGAAGCTCACGACCTTTCCAACACCAGCTCTGCGACGCCTTCAAGGTCCTTGACAAGGACTCCACCGGCATCATCTCCATCTCAGAGCATATAGTGACAACCACACATTGCCCCTCACCCCAACTTGCAAGATACCAAATTGAGTGAATTGGTCTTTAACTTCACAGAACATAGCACAGATTCTGCAACCCATAAACAAAAAGCATAGATTTGGTTTGTTTGCCCTTTTTTTTTCTTCTTTTCCTCAGTTTCTGAAGCAAGTACAAAAGAGAAGATAAAGGCACTAGTGATTACCTTGGAGTGGTGGAAACAAAACTTGGGTACATATTATTTCTCAAAAATTCCACATGAAGGGGAAAATTAGAGCCAACGAACTCTACTTATTGAGGAAAAGCCCTAAACTTTCCACGGTAATGGGAAGTAATTCCATATGGGTACCTAGTAGAACTAGTACCCATGAGGAAAAACACAATCCCAATTCTCCAAATTCAATGAAATTCAAAAAATGAGCAGAGTTTGAGAGCTCACTTGCAGAAAAAGGATAAAGAATCACAGTAACACAACCAAATCCCAGCATCATCCCTAAATCCTCTTAGCACACCCCACATCCACACTCCCCAGCAACCTACACCTAGCCGGCGCCTTGAAATTCACTAACCCATCACCCCTCACCCAAAATCCCGACCTCAGCTTTGGATTTGGTTGCAGTATTCGCTTGAGAGAGAGAGAGAGAGAGAGAGAGAGTAGCATTATTGAGATCCAGAATACCATCTTCCGCATAGCAGAACAGATTTTGTAGTTTCAAATATTACAAACAGAGAAAAGAAACTAGCCCAACCTCCAGTTAAAGGCCAAGTATAACTAAAAACACAAAAACAACATTACATTGATTTCACAAATCAATTCCATCTGATGATCATTCCTTAACCAGGGGAGGACGAGGATTAGAAGGAATTTGTGTCTGAATCTTAGAATATAAAACAACAAAGAGCAAACAGTTCCTAATCATCGTTGCCGATCTTCAACCATCGCCGGTCAGAGAAATTGTTGAACAAAAGTGACAGCGCCGACAGGATTGGGGGGAAGGGAGAGGGAGTGGCTGGGTGCACAGCAGGGGAGAGGGATTCGTGGTTCAGTGGTTTGGACTGGAGGAGCGGGGTGGGGGAGGGAGATTTGGGGTAACGATGGTGAGGGAGTGAGGGTTGGCTAGGTTGGAGAAGAAAGATGAGAATTTATTTATTTGGGTTAATCATTTTATTAGTTCCTAAACTTAGACTCGATTTGCATTTAAGTATCTTAATTTCCTAAATGATTCCCGTGGTCCTTTAACTTCATTTTCGTCAAGACAAATGGTCCTACCGTCAATTTTGTTAACTTTTTCTGTTAAATGCTGAGGCAAAATGGTATTTTTATATTAAAACCAAAAAAAGGAATAAAAAAATCATATCTTTAAAATAACAATAAAAGAAAATCAAATAAAAAAACCTACAAAAAAGAAAAAAAGAAAAATTAAGTTTGGGGGGAGTAGAAATCGAGATTTGGGGGGGGGGGGGGGGGGAGAGTTTAATTTTAATTTTTTAGTTTTGTATTTTTTATTCATATTTTAATCAATTTTGATACAAAAAATACCATTTTGTCCCTGCATTTAACAGAAAAGTTAACAAAATTAACGGCATGACCATTTGTCCTAACGAAAGTGAAGTTAAAGAATCATGGGAACCATTTTGGAAATTGAGGTACTCAAATGCAAATCGGGTCAAGGTCTAATAAAACGATTAACCCTTTTTATTTTTTTCTTTTGCGTCATGTCGTCAATGCGAATGGAGAAGAGAATAAGGCGGAGGAGAGGAATTGTCATCATTGTCATTGGTGTGGTGAGGTGAGGTGAACATGGCGTTTGGGAGATATACAAGAGAGAATAGAATAAGGCGGGAAACAGGGAGAGGAATGGAATTAGATGAATTAATAGTCTCATGATCTCTTCTTCTATGGAATTGACTTGTGCTTCACTGCTTCGGCTTCCCAATCTTAATCTCAAGCTCAAATTTGCTGCTAAATTTTTTTCAATTTCGGGTTTCAGACTTTCAGTCAATTGCAGTGTTCGAAAAATTGGCCTAGGTGGGTGGTTAGGTGGCTAGGCAGATGCTAGGCAGCTAGGCAGGAGCTAGGCGGATGGGTGGGCCTCCTAGGCGGTTGAGTCTTGTTTCAGTGTTGAACCCGGAGAATGAAGCAGCCGAAACCGAAGAAATCGAAGCTTGAGTTGATAGAAAGGCAAAATGGCTGTGACTGTTCTCTATCCTCTGCGAGGTGCAAGCTTCATGTGTTTCAAATATATTTAAAAAGTATAGCCACGTGGCTATTCTCTTAAAATATTCAAATATATTAATATTTAAACAGTATAGCCGAATGGCTATACGTATAAAATATTCGAATGTATTTAGAAAGTAAAGCTGCGCGGCGATTCCTTTAAATATACGATTTTGTTATATCATTTTAGGGTTTAGGCCTAAAATACCACTTTACCACATTGTGCTATAGTTATTTCTTCAATTATTTTATTTATACAAGATGAGAATTTAAATTCTTTCCATACCTTCCATTCAAATATGTAAAATGTTGCTATTGGGGTGTGGATAAGGGTGAGGGTGAGGGTGAGCTAGCCATCATAAGGGAATCTGGATGGTTCAATTCAACAAGTCTTCTCTGCATAGTCTCAAATTGTTCTGTCGCTGCTAAATCTACCCGACCTAGCTGTGCTAAGGATGCTCATATGAGTCCACTTATTTGGATCCACAAATGCTTTATCAATAGTAGCCTGTAGTCGCATAGATTCAAATCCCACGCACCATAGTAAGTTATACAACACCGAACTCAAAATGCATATGTATGATTTGGGTTCAGATTGCCAAGTAAATCGAAACAATTACCTGAGCCGCTAAATAGCTCTCAAAATCAGAACCAAGCAAATAGAAGTCTTTACCACCGTCCACAGTATCACATAGAGATTGAAACTAGTCTTGCCAGTGCAAGCTTTGTCCTCTACGAGTGCAAGCTTCGTGTTTTTTCCGAATATATTTAAAGAGTATAGCCAGTCAGCTATATGCTTTACATATACAATTTTTTTCATATAATTTTAGGTATAAAATACCACTTTCGCCCATTGGGCAAGAGTTATTTCTTCAATTATTTTATTTATACAAGCGATATTGGAGAATTTAAATTTAAATTTTTTCCATACCTCTCATTCTAATGATTTCTAGCTATTACATTCTAATCTTCCGTTCCTATCACGCCCATTCTAATCATTCGTTCCTGTTACAGGACATTGCTCATAGAATATATGTATCGATCACCTAATTTAGAATATCTTATCTTAGACCTTGATCGTATGTTGAACAAAGAAAACAACCCCTTCCATCCACCGGCGTTTGTGCCTACTTGTTTGTCTTCACACATTAGGATAATCTCCATGAGAGGGTCCCATGGAAAACGTGATGAGATGTATGCGGCTTAGTATTTGTTGAAGTTCGGTTTGGTTATAAATAAAATGATTGTTTATACTGCGATTGCTGCTGGTGTTGTCACTTCTCCTCGCCCGAAAGAGGAGATATACAAGGAAATTTCAATGTTTGAATGTGGTTCAAAGAGATGCAATGTAGGTCTCAAAGGAGTTCAAGGATCTCTCCAAGTTTTTGTTAAAGCATCATCAATCTTTGAATTTGAAGTTCTTTCTATTATTTCTGAGTTTGAAAGTGTACTCCACTTCTTATAGTACCTATCAATTGTTGAAATGTAAGCATGACATGTTGAAAATAAGGAAACATGTGAAGAATTAAGAACATATTTGTGGAATTTAAACTTCTCTTCTTTAATTAACTTGAATATTGAATACAACTTAAATAGCAAAATAACAAAGCAACTAAGCTAAATAATAGGAACAACTAATGCACGACTAAACAATGACATGTAGCCACTAACCATGACTCCATGACAACTCGGACTCTCCTATTAACTAGCAACTAAACAACCGAGTCCCTAAAGAATAGGACTTCCACAACTTAATGGAGAAAGAGAGAGGGAAAAAATATGGAGGTTTTTTTTCTTTCTGATCCCAGGAAAGAGAGAGAGAGAGGTTTTTTTTTCTTTCTGATACCAAGTAAAAAAAGAATACTACCAAGTAAAGAGATTACGTTTCCAAGAAAAAAGGGAGGAGAGAGAAATTTATTTTATTTTATTTTATGAGAGAGAAAATAAAATTAATGATTGTTTATTTAAAACATTAAAACTATTTGTCATCTCAGATTTAATCTCAATCATTAAAAGTGGAGTAATCTAATGACTCAAAAATTGTGTAAAAAATATAGTGCCACGGATCTGCTCCCTATATATATATATAGTGCCAATCACAGTTTCAGACAGTCTGAAATTGTACCCCTGTTAGTCACCGGATTTACTGGTACTCTCAGGTATTGGTGGGATAAGCACTTAACCCCTGAGTCAAAAAGTTTGATCATTCATGCTGTAAAACTTAATGAAGACGGCCTCCCTATATTCGATGAACAAATAGGTCAAGGTATAGAAGACGGAGTCAATACTCTGCTTTATATGATAATTGAGCATTTCATTGGAACCCCTAGTCATACCACCGCTAGGATACATGATCAGTTGAGCAATCTTAGATGCCCTAAATTATCTGATTTCAGATGGTATAAAGATGTCTTCATTTCTAGAGTCATGCTTAGAGATGATAGTAATCAACCATTCTGGAAAGAAAAATTTGTTAATGGTCTTCCAAATCTGTTTGCCCATAAGATACGCACAACCTTAAGTAATGAGCAAGGTCATATAGATTGGGATAGTTTGACTTATGGAAATATTATAAGTACAATCAACCAAGTCGGAATGAAAATGTGTATTGATTTTAAAATTGGTAAACAAATACGCCTTTTTATAAGCTATTCTCTGCTTCCGTGTTTATTTGGTATCAGAGCCGTAAGTGTTGCGGTTTTTGTCTAAGTCTGCTACTCATCCCCGCCCAAGTGGCTGGTTTAAGCTTCTGAGTAGAAGTTCTACAGTTTCTTCTTCTTCTTCCTTTTTCTTCTTCGAGTCATTTGTTGATCTCATTCTAAGGTCTGACCCGTGAGTCCTTTTTCCGAAAACAGTAAATCCCGAGGGTAGGGTGTGTTAGGTGGGCAGGAGACAGAAAATTGAGTGAGGTTACTAAGTTTCTTGTTGAGAAAACGGTCAGTTTAAGAAGCCCCTGTTTATCTTCTTCCTCAAAAGCCATCCCCAAACACTTGAGTCACCATGAGTCGTTTGTTTAGAACAAAATCTTGTAATTCAAGCAGCTCCCAAACCAGTATAAGCCAACTTCCAGAAATAGTTAATGAAGAACATTTTGAATATGATTCCAGTAGCAAAGAACAATTAGATTTTAGAGATTGGAATATCCCTAAAGTCCCGAGTCAAAAAATCTATAAGAAACATTGGTTGCCTTCTAGTTTTAATAGCACAACCCATGTCAAAACAGTTGAACAAGTGTATGCCTTGAGCAAAGAACATGAAACCTGTCAGTTGCTTAATCTTGAGTCTATTAAGAAACATAAAACTGATGGAAACAACTTCCTGCACATTGGTCTAGTTCAAGTTGCTGTTAAGCCCCTAACCAGATTAGGGTTAAAAGCCTCTATTTTCCTTGGTTTACGAGATGCTAGATTCACTGAGTTTAGCGACAGTTGCTTAGGAGTCATTGAGTCCAGTTTGTGTAATGGCCCAGTTCATTTTGATTGCTATCCAGATTTTACTGTAAGCCTTAGTGATCCTCACATACTAAAGACTTTAACTTTGAATATTAAGACTGAAGGTTATAATGTCCTCCCAGGAACCCAACCTTTGGCCTTAGTCTATAGAATTTACTATAAGGTTACAGGCACCAATATGAACTTTCAAGCCCTTAATAAAAGCCCAAAAGACCAAACTGTTCTAATACAGAGTCACACGCCAGATGCACGAGTCCAAGTTCCGCAAACCATTAAGTGGTCAGAAGTTGCCCTTCCAAAAGAATGGACCTTAGTCACTGAGAGCCAACCAGCTCCCATTCAGCGTAGTCTAAACAATTTAGACTACATCCAACAGTATTTAGACGGCACAGTAAAAATTCGATTTGATAATCAACCTCTAAAGAAGTCTAATGTCCAGTTGCAACAATTACCGACCCCTGGTCAATCCCAGAGGCATGCCCCTGCTAGGCGCTCTTTTACAGCCTCATCTTCCACTCTAGAACGAGACCTAGAGTTACAGAAAGCCATGATTGACTTTAAGCTTGAGTCCCTGAGAAAATCCTCTCAGGTAAACCAACCTTGCTATGGCAAGGCACCAGTCCAAGAAGATAAGTCTAATTCACCTGAGTCTCCCACACAGTCTGATTTCCTAGTTGATAACCAACTTAGAACCCTTAATAAGAAATTTGAGATTAATTGGAAACGTTTAAATTCCCATCTTAAGTCTCCAGAAAATCAAAATAGACGAGATAGTTATCACCATGCCTATCCTGATAGTGAAAGCCGACAAAGAATCTTTACTGAATGGAAAGATTATATGCGGTCAACCAAAGTTGAAATTTTCTACCTTGATTTTATTGAAAGCCGTTATATGTCTAGTGAATTAAAAACCCTAACCAAAGAAAAGTGGAAATTAATAGACAGATCAGAAGTTGAAGCTAGTCATCCCCCAGTTGAAACCATTGTTATAAGCCATAGGAATACTCTCATACCTGCCAGTCCCTTCAAAACTTATGAAAATGATGATGAAAATAAGAGGATAATTGAGCAAAACAATTATACCAACCAGAGTCTAATTGTCATAGGAAAACAGTTAGATACAATTGAGACAAAAATTGACAAGATAAATTCCCCAGAAATTAAGTCTAAGACAAAAGTTGAAAAACCAATAGTCCAGTTCCAGGATCTTCAGTCAAGCCCAACGCTTAAGATCAAACCAACAATGAAGAAAATTGAAGAAATGCTAGAACAGTTAACCCCAATTAAAGCCGAAAAATCTGGTCTTAAAACACTAGATTCCGTTACAAACCCCACTGAGTCTGACCCTGAGTCAGTAGATTCCGAAATTAGTAACATTTCAAAAATTGAAAGTGCTTTCAAAAACCTAGAAGTCCAAGTTGAACCTAGAGTCAAAAAATTGGAAAAACATATAAGCCCTACCAGTTTAACCAGAAATTGGTACCCTAGACCAACTCCTCCAGACATTCAATTTGAAGAAAGAAACCTCCAAACCCAGTTCTCGGTTTCTTCCGATAAAATGTATGAATGGAACATTGATGGTCTTTCTGAGCAAGAAATCTTTAATAAGCTACAACACATGTCCATGGTTGCTAATAGTTATATCACCAATCACAGTTTCAGACAGTCTGAAATTGTACCCCTGTTAGTCACCGGATTTACTGGTACTCTCAGGTATTGGTGGGATAAGCACTTAACCCCTGAGTCAAAAAGTTTGATCATTCATGCTGTAAAACTTAATGAAGACGGCCTCCCTATATTCGACGAACAAATAGGTCAAGGTATAGAAGACGGAGTCAATACTCTGCTTTATACGATAATTGAGCATTTCATTGGAACCCCTAGTCATACCACCGCTAGGATACATGATCAGTTGAGCAATCTTAGATGCCCTAAATTATCTGATTTCAGATGGTATAAAGATGTCTTCATTTCTAGAGTCATGCTTAGAGATGATAGTAATCAACCATTCTGGAAAGAAAAATTTGTTAATGGTCTTCCAAATCTGTTTGCCCATAAGATACGCACAACCTTAAGTAATGAGCAAGGTCATATAGATTGGGATAGTTTGACTTATGGAAATATTATAAGTACAATCAACCAAGTCGGAATGAAAATGTGTATTGATTTTAAAATTGGTAAACAAATACAGTCCGATAGAAAGTCTGCCAAGTATGAGTTAGGCAATTTCTGCGAACAGTATGGTCTTGCCAGTATTCCTCCCTCCAGGAAAAAAAAGCCTAGTCATCTTCGAAAAAATCGACATTATTCTCGTAGGAACCAATTTTCCCAACGAAATGATGATCGTGAATTTTACAAGAAAAGAAAATTCTCTCCTAAGAAAAACTGGTCAAAAGCCCCAAAAGGTCAAAAGAAGAATCGGTCCAAAAATAGTGATAAAACTAAAGTTAAATGTTTTAAATGTCAAAAGTTCGGTCATTATGCTTCTGAGTGTAAAGTAAAAGATACTACTAAAAGTTGAAAATTGCAGACGAAGATAAGGAAAAGTTGATAAAAGTTTTAGAGTTACGAGACTCTGAAACAAGCAGTAGTGAAACCTTAGCTGCCAGTTCTGAGTCTGAATCTGACCAGTCTTCAGATTCACAATCAAGTTCACCTGATATCCAAATTGGTTGCACAGATAAATGTTGTAATAGGTTGAAATCTATTTCTGTCCTTACTAAACAGGAAGAACAGGAAGAATTACTAATAGACTTAATAAGTAAAATTGAAAATCCTGATCTAAAAGCTGAATATTTAAAGAAATTAAGAAAAGTCATAAGTCAGGAAAGCCCGAGTCAGTCTAAGCCCCAACCGGTCAGTTTAAACACTACTTTAGAAAGGTTTGGTAAAAAGAAAGAAGCCACCTTACAAGACTTACAGTTAGAAGTCAAAATGGTCAAGAAAGAAATAGTTGAATTAAAACAAATGAGTCATAAATTGCAGAGTGAGAACTATGCAATCAAACAAGACTTGATTCACTTAAAAGAAAAAGAACCTTCTGAGTCTAAAAGCCAGTATGAAAGTCCACACAATTCTGATGATGAACCCCCAGAAGACCAACAAGTAGTCAGCCTAATTCGACAAGTCAATTTTAGAAAATGGTATTCAAAAGTAACAATATTTGTTCAAAATTTTGAATTTACCGTAGTTGCCTTATTCGATTCAGGAGCAGATCTTAACTGTATCCAGGAAGGTCTAATCCCTACTAAATTTTACCAGAAGTCTAGAGAATCCTTAAGTACTGCTTCAGGAAGATCTCTCCAGTTGAACTTTGAAATACCAAAAGCCCATGTTTGCCAAAATAAGATTTGTTTCAAAACCTCATTTGTCTTAGTTAAAAATATTACTGATGAAGTCATATTAGGATTACCTTTTATTGCCTTGTTATATCCTTTTCAGGTAGATTTTGACGGTGTCATTTCTACCTATCTAGGAGAAAAGGTTAAGTTTGAATTTTTATCTAAGCCAGAGTTGCATAACCTAAGAGCCCTGCAAAAACAGTCCGTCTCTAAGTCAATACAAATTATTCGAAAAAATAATCAGTTGAATTTCCTAAAAGAAGAAATTAGGTTTAAAAGAGTTGAACAACAGCTTAATGATACTTCCTTGCAGTTGCAAATCCAAAAGTTTGAGACCAAATTAAAAAATGAAATTTGTGCTGATTTGCCTAATGCTTTTTGGTATAGGAAACAACATGTTGTCTATCTTCCTTATATCAAAACCTTTAGTGAGAAAAGCATTCCTACTAAAGCCAGGCCAATCCAGATGAGTCAAGAAATTATGGAATTTTGTAATCAAGAAATTATGGAATTTTGTAAAAAAGAAATTCATGAGTTACTTAAGAAGAAAATAATTCGCAAAAGTAAGTCCCCTTGGTTTTTTATGTCCAGAAAAATGCTGAACTAGAAAGAGGAGTCCCAAGATTAGTTATTAATTACAAGCCCCTTAATTCAGTCTTAGAATGGATTAGGTACCCCATACCTAATAAGAGAGACCTGATTAATAGGTTAGAAAAAGCAGTTGTTTATTCCAAATTTGATATGAAGAGTGGTTTCTGGCAAATCCAAATACATGAGTCAGACAGGTATAAGACTGCGTTTGTCACTCCTTTCGGTCTGAATGGAATGTAAAAGAATGTAATGCTTTTCTGAGTCTATTGAGCAGCATTGGAAACATTTGCATAAGTTTCTTCAAATTGTCAAACAAAATGGTTTAGTTGTCTCTGCCAAGAAAATCAAGTTATTCCAAACCAATATCAGATTTCTTGGTTTCAATATTTGTCAATCGCAAATCTCCCCAATTGATCGAGTCATCCAATTTGCTGATAAATTCCCTGGTCAAATTCTTGATAAAAGTCAACTCCAGAGGTTTCTAGGATCTCTAAATTATGTTTCTGACTTTTACCAAAATCTGAGGAAACAATGTAAGCCCTTGTTTGATAGGTTACAGAGTAATCCTCCTCCATGGTCAAACATTCATACTGAAATTGTTAAGCAAATCAAAGCCCATGTCAAGACACTTCCTTGCCTTGGCATTCCTTCAGTTGATTCCTTCAAAATAGTTGAAACTGATGCCTCTGACACAGGTTATGGTGGCATTCTGAAACAACAAGTCTCCCCAGAATCTCCAGAACAAATTGTTCGTTTTCATTTTGGAATCTGGACCCAGTCGCAATATAATTATAGTACTATTAAAAAAGAAATATTAGCTATTGTATTATGTATTAGCAAATTTCAAGATGATTTACTGAATCAAAAGTTTTTAATAAGAGTTGATTGCAAATCTGCAAAACATGTTTTAGAAAAAGATGTTCAAAACATTGCATCTAAACAAATTTTTGCACGATGGCAAAGCATTTTAAGTATATTTGATTTTGATATTGAGTATTTGAGAGGAAGTGAGAATTCAATTCCTGATTTTCTTACTAGAGAATTCTTGCAGGATGCACAATGGCACCCAAAAAAGACAAGCAAAAAGAGTCAACCAGCCAATCTAAGTCTTCCCAGTCGCCTACCCAGTCGCTCCGAGTCCTCCCTGCATCTATGAGTCAAAATAAGCCGGATATCCCCAAGTCGGTGGTTCCTTACCCGGGACATCCACCAATCTCAGTTGCCTCACCAATTCCAGTTGCTAATAGATTCTCTGCCCTGGGATCTACAGTTGGCCAAATTCGCCCTAGTTATCAAAGAACCCTAATCTCCAGTTATGATCCCTTCTTTGGTGATTCCCCTGCTGGACCTTCAGTTGCCCCCCTTAAAAGGTCATCCCCCTATATGCCTAAAAGCATTTCTCATTTATTTGTTCTTGAGCCTTTATACGATATTCATTCTGATCCAGTTGAAATAGCCAAACACTATTTTCCTCCTGGATTTCATTATATACCTCCCAGTCCATATAAGTCTCTCAAGTATTATAGAGATATATTACTTGAATCTCAATCAGTTGAAATTAAGCCGATAAGGGATAAAGATCGTCCTGAGATTATCCTTTATCATTCTCTATATGTCCATAAGATTGTAAGCCAAGAATCCTTCAGTAGCCATCCTTATGAGTTGAAAACCCTCCAGTCAAAATTACAGTATAATTATTCCGATTATATTGAAGCCTGGTATTCTATCTTCCTCCATCAAACTGAGGATTTTAGTCACTCCTGGTTTATTAATTTTGACAATAAGTTCAAAAGTCCTTATCCCTTTTGGTTCCTCCATTGGTGGGAAAAGCACGGCCCAGTTGATGAATCTTGCCTATTGCAGTTCATGAGTTGATCCGCCATTATACTAAAAAAGCCAAATTTGCCAAAAATGATTTATTCTTTCCCAAGCAGATGCTTTTTGTAGCCAGATACAAAGTCCCTTGGATCCTCAAGTGGTCTTATTCAGTTGCCAAAGACTCTACCCGAGTTCTTACCCGCCAATTCTCTGTCAAATGGTGGGATAAATTTGAAGTTGACAGAATTGCCAGATATGTCTACAATGATTTGCCCCAAGAGCCTATTCCGCGTCCTGTTTCTCCTACTGGTTCGACCCGATCTTCTCTCTCAGTCGAAGGAAAATCGAAGTCTGAACTCCAAGAAATTGCACGCCAGTTGATCATCCAAGCCTCTCAGATGGATGATGATGAAGACAATGATTCCCCTTCATCGTCCAGCTGTCAGCCCATGCACAGTCCTGCCCCTAAGAAGTCTTGGTTTGAAGACAGTCAAGACCCATATGATGGGTATGATTTGAATTCTGACGAAGCAATCCAGTTGCAGGCACAATAATTGCTCCTAGTTGCCGACATAATAATTGCCCCGGAGAATGATTGATGAAGCATCTTTTTATGCAGCCAGCTGTCCCCTGCCTCTTTCATCATTGCTCTCCGACAGTTCACCCTGAGTAAAAGAAGAAAGTTACAAAGTAAAAGAGAAAAGTTGCTACAGAAAAGTCAAAAGTTGCTCAAATTATTACCAGACATAATTGAAAGTTGAATCAGGTTGCCCCCGTGATTCCTCAGTTACCTCAGAGTTGCTTTCGGTTACCTTAGTTACTTTTCTAAGTAACTCCAGTTGCTCCTGTAAACCATAGTTGCTTTCCTTGTATTATATAAGCCGGCCTTGGCCATAGTTGAAGGCAGATTACAATTTACATTCAGTTTTTTAAAGATTCTCTCTGAACACTTTGGAGAAATCATCTTTGTAAACACTGAGTGTTTTGTATCTGAAGTTGCTATCTTGAAGTTGCTTCTGTGAGTATGAATAAAATTGTTATTTTCAGTTATCTCTATCTTGAGTAATTTATATATATATATATTAACGTACCCTTATTGCCATCAGTTTGCTGAAATTATACATACAAATTAACTTACCCTTACTGCCATGCTGGGAAAGAATATAACTAAATAAGACCAAATTGAAAAAACTACCATGGTACGTAGTCTCTTTGTTTAGAACAAGAGCTTCAACCCTATTTTCACTGCAGAGAACTTCAGACAAGATTTTAACATCATCCACTTCAGGCATCAGGAAAAGCTCAGCTCTTTCTAAACACCTAAATTTCACAAAAATTACTTGGTGAATCGATACATCCCCCGACCATTTCAAATAATTCAGATTTGGAGCAAAAATATTTAACAAATTCTTGCAAGTGGAAAGAAAATCCGAGTCGATAAGCATGTCTTCAAGTTTTTCACCTGAGATATGCTAAGGATGAGGCCACAAGACATAGTGCTATGCACAAAACTAAAAGATTTCAAAGAGGAGCTTTCAATGGTGGCCTGTTTTATTCCAAAAACTCGTTCAAGATGTAATTCCTTGATGCACTTACATGAACACGAGATCCGTTTGAAAAACCCCTAATTATCTTCTATACGCATATATCTCAGCCTCAAGTATTCAAGATTAGAGGAAGAAGCAAGGGAGGGTGCTTTAAGAATCTGACAGCGATAGGGACCTCAAAGATCCACAAAGAAAGACAGACGATGGTAACAAATAAAGTCTCCCTACTGCTTCGGCATTAACCTCAAGAACTTCAACTTTACACCTCACAGCATTGTGGATCCACGTAATAAATCGAAACCTCACATCTTCAGTGAAACGTGGATTTTCTCTTGAAGGCAGGATGAATGAATAAGAACCTATCCAAAGAACTCATTAACTTTAACAGCTTTTCGCAGGTTAACAAATTTGCATAATACCCAACAAAATTCAGTGAGGGAGTTGACAGATAAACTCTCTGCATCTTTTGGAGACAGCTGGAACGAGTGAGGTCTTCTATAACAAGTAAGGCAAGAATGTTATGAGCAATTTCGTGTGAAAGGTTGCTGATTCTGTCTATCATTTTTCGGAAGATTAATTACTTCAAGTTTTTGAAATTTGGGAAGTCAATCAAGTTCTAGTCACTTTGTAATGTTTCAAGATAAAATGGCCTAAACTAGAACAGACCAAAACAGAGTTTGGTGCCTACATTACATGTCAAATACTTATAGTTCAACATTGCAACATAAAATGCCTAAAAATTGCGGTTGTTGAGCTCAATACAGCAGGAGAGATGCCCTTGTAAAGCTACATTATCTTAAATGTTTTGCAATCTGCAATATCCCATATTAAACCGAGAACACTGCAGGAAAGGCAACAATCAACAAGCAAATCAGTTGAAATTTCCGCACCCCAAAAAAAAAAGATAAATAAAATCATGAAAGAGAGGGGGAAAGAAATAGGCAACACTTTCACTTACATCAGTTTTAGGTTCAAAGAATTCTGGGTCAGACATTATTTCCAAAGTACTCAAATTACACATTCCTTGAAAAGTGGAGACCATTCCTGGGACTAGCATATCACAAAAGCTTCCAACATGAATAGACAAATAACAAACATTCTCTAATAGCAGTGGCATGAAATCTCCATAGAAGACAGCCTACAAGTTATAAACACAAACATAAGGGAACCGAAAGACAAGAATTACGAACATTAATTAAGAAAAGAACTACCTGCAATATATTTGAGAAAATAAGTCGATGAAATAGTCATTACTAACTAAAAGTTGAAACTATCATGGTTTTTGAAGTACTTGATCTGTCAAAGTACTATTACAAAGTTTCAGACTGACAATTCTAAAACAAACAAGAAACATCAACATGAAATTTCATTCTAGCCAGTATAACCAAAATTAATAAAAAATATAACCAAATCTTATTGCCATCAGTTTTCTGAAATTAACTTACCCCTATTGCCATGCTGGGAAAGAATATAACCTAAACAAGACAAATTGAAAAAACAAAAACCATTAAATAAAAAGAACATCTTGAAGAGTAGTGTCTACTTACCATGGTGGTCTTTCTGTTTAGAACAAGAGTTTCAACCTTGTTTATACTGCAGAGAAACTCAGTCAATATTTTAAAGCAACGGCGATTAGATTCCAGAAAAAACTCGGCCTTTTCTAAAGATGTAGATTTCCCCAAACTTTGGCCAATCCATACATCATCCCTTGACAATTTCAAATACTTCAGATTTGGAGCAAAAATATTGACCAAATTCTTGAGACAGTTATGATGATCCAAGTGAACAAGAACAAGTATGTCTTCAAGTTTTTCAGCTGAGATGCTAAGGATAAGGTCAATATACACGGGAATCAAGCACAAAACTAAAAGATTTCAAAGAGGAGCTTTCAATGGTGATCTGATTTATTCCAAAAATATCTTAAAGATGTAACTCCTTGATGCACTTACATGAACATGAGATCCATTTGAAAAACCCCTCATATTCTGTGAAAACATCATCCAACTTCAAGTATTTCAGTCAATCGCAGTGTTTGAAAAATCGGCCTAGGCGGGCGGCTAGGCGGCTAGGCGGTCGCTAGGCGGACGCTAGGGGGCTAGGTGGTCGCTAGGCGGCTAGGCGGTAGCTAGGCAGCTAGGCGGTCGCTAGGCAGCTAGGCAGTAGCTAGGCGGGAACTAGGCAGCTGGGCAGGCCTCTAGGCGGGCGCTAGGCGGTCGCTAAGCGGCTAGGAGGTCACTAGGCCGCTAGGCGGTCGCTAGGCGGCCGCTAGGCGGCTTGGCGGGCGCCTAGGCGTATTGGGTCTTTTTCCGGTGCCAAACCCGGAGGACGAAGCAGTGACTGCGAGTGCAAGATCGAACGCCTAGGCGTATTGGGTCTTTTCCGGTGTCGAACCCAGAGGACGAAGCACAGTGACTGCGAGTGCAAGCTCGAACATATTTAAAAAGTATAGCCGGTCGGCTATACCTTTAATATTCGAATGTATTTAGAAATTATAGCCTAACGGCTATACGTTTAAAATATTCGGACATGTTTGAAGAGTATAGCCGTCCGGCTATACCCTTTAAATATACAATTTTGTCATATTATTTTAGGGTTTAGGGCTAAAATACCAAAAACATGAGAAGAAAGGATTTCCATATTTGGAGAAAAGTATGAAGAAAAGTAAAGGGCTAAAAATAACATTCATATCCTTTCCTCAATCAGTAGTAGAATGTTTAAGTTTTGTGGAACATATTATTTAGTGGATGAAATCTTGGTCATAGATTTTATAAGTCAAAAATTCATTTTTAGTCCCTGTATTTGGCCCATTTTACAACTTTGGTCCATGTAGTTTCAATCTTATCAATTTTTGCCCTTGTAGTTTTCAATTTTGTCAATTTTGTCAATTTTATCGTTGTAGTTTTCAATTTCATCATATTTTTTTTTTCAAAATTCAGATAAAATTGACAAAATTGAAACAACATGTACCAAAGTGTTAAATTGGCAAAGTACCGACTGTTGAAGAATATAAGTATTACATCGGAAACTTGATCAAATAAAATATTATAATGAATCGTTCTACTACTAATATCACCAAGGCATTTTGTGATAAAACCTCACACCTATTGGGCCTTGTAGGCGAAGTTGTGGAAAATATCGGTATTGCTAGTTATGGGCCGTTGACTCGTTTCTCTAAAATTTAACACAAATAACAAAAGTAAATTTTTGCCTTCTTAATTTTGGCATACATAGTGAGATATAGTGATCCTATATATATAAGCTTATTTGAGGGATCTTCTCATATCTCATCACTCCATAGCTTATAAAACAAGAGTAATATTAAGGACATGACATTTATGTACCATAGAGTTGGTACATAAATATTATCTCCCTAACATTTTCGGTAAAACAATGGCAACGTTTGAAGTATTTTCATGTGATAGAAATGGGAACTTTTGTTTATATAAAAGTTCTAATTAACTCCCTATTATTATTAATCTTTTTAAAAAGGATGTGTGAAATTTTGGTTTTTTTAACAACTTTGATTCCTTAAAGTTCCCAACGTTTAACAATTGTTGGTCCCTCAGAAGGGAGAATCAGAACCAGAAGACGGGTGTTCGACTGCCTTCATGTACATTTGTACAGTCTGCAATTTTTAAAATTTTATTTTAGTGAAGGTCCTCTTTTTAGTTAACTCATTTACTTAACAATTTGTATTATTTTTTATTCAGTTTGTTCATTCTCTCTGTCACGTCTTCATTCTTCGTCTTCTTCCTCTCTCTTCCTCGCTCTTCCTCCCTCTCTCTCTTATTCCTTTCTCTTCCTAGTCATCTACAGCCCACAGTCCAAGCCGCAAAGCCGTCGTGTCCCAGTTCTCTCTGCACCTGAAAAACCGAAACAAGCCGACCCAAACAGTTCTATCGGTTAATTGAGGGCGTCAGTGTTTCAAGTTGGTGGTTCAGCGTCGGTGCCGAAAATGGATCCACCGACGTTTGGAATCTAATTTTACATGAGTTTGAATACATTAA